GGTAGAAAGAAAGCAGCAGACTAAACAGATTATCAAGAGACCTCTGGGACCCAAGTAATAACATGCCAGTGCATTTCCCTTTTGCCTCATACACCTCAAACCGGGCATTAGAATATCCAGAAGCTCCCAAAAGGGCTTACACGAAAATAAACTCAAGAAAAGCCTACATTAAAAAAAAAAAAAAAAAGAGGAAGGGCTATCCTAGTGAGACAGAAAACGTTTAGACAGCAACCACTCTGTTCCAGCCAGGCATGCTACAAAAACCTGTGCCCCGCATCCTGCTCTCACCAACAAGGCCCAGTAGAAGAACGCGAACTCCTAGCCCACCCAGGGCTCCCCTCCAAAGAGGCACGCTGGGAAGGAGTCAAGGCTGCGAGCACTGTACAGCCTTAATGAGGATGCTTCCCAAGCCTCAGCGGAGGTGTCACGGCGAGAAGTGATGAGGCAGCCTTCCCTCTCTTCACCAGGAGAACGTCAGCTGGGGCCTAGTGGGGGCCTGAATGTCCACTGCCCCCCTCGCCCAGCCAAGTGCAGCACTGGAGCACAGGGGGTTCCACCTGCACGGTAATGAGCTGGTGTGGCTCCCTTTCTCCCACTGGGAGTGTCTGATCTAAAATACAAGATTTAGTACGATTTCAACTCTCAGACCCTTTATAGACTAATTCTCCAAATGTCCAGGTTTTGATTAAAAGTCACTCACTGAGCCGAGAATCCACACAATCTCAACATAAATGAGAAAAGACCATCCACGGACACGAATACTGAGGTGACTCAAACGTGAGAACAATCTAACAAGGGGTCCAATCCAGGTATCAAAAATATTTTTAACAAACATTTATAAACATGCTTGAGATAAATAGAAAGCTGAGTCTCACCAAAGTAATAATATGCCTCAGCAAAGAAACAGACGCTAAATGAAGAACCAGAAAAAAAATTTTAGAAGTGAAAATACAATCATCAAAATGGAAAACTCAGTGGATATAAGCAACAGTAGAATGGAGAGGACAAAGCAAAATAAAACAAAATAGTGGGCTTGACAAGAGAGGATTAGGAATGATCAAATTTGAAAGGAAGAGCCAAAGTGGATTTCAAAAGCAAATGAGGACCTGCTCAGGGTCCGGGAGGGCTCGAGCAGGAGCACCTCAGAAAGACGAGAAAGAACCTGGATCAAACGCGTGTTGAAAAAATGACGCCAAAAAGAAAAAGAAAAAACAACGCCTTCAAATCCCAAATCTGGCCAAAGACATAAACCTACAGGTTCAAGAAGTTACGTGAACCCCCAAACAAAATAAACTCCAAGAAATCTGCACCGAGACATAGGTAACTTTCTAAAAAGTTAAAGGCAAGGAAAAAATTTTAAAACAATATCCACAAGGGGAAAAAAATTGAAATGATAATGAATTTCTCCTCTGAAAACATACAAAACGGAAGCATGTGACAGAAGTCCTTTTCAAGAAAAAAAACTGTCAACCTAGAACAGCCAAATTACCAGCAAAAATACCCTTCAGAAACGAAAAGCAAGGC